CTCCACGATGGCCTCGCAGAGGGCCTGCGGGCACGGGCAGGTCAGCTTCGTCCACTTCGTCCCGCGCGGCGCGTCGCCTCTCAGGATCTGGCGCGGTAGCCCCGTCGCAGAGCAGCACGATGACGTGCCCGTGCACCTCCTCGCGACCATCAGCAGCTCCCGACGCGACGTCAGAATCTTCGTGGGCTTCTTCCAGGACGTGCCGAACTGGCAGTAGTCGACCTCCAGCGTGCAGACGCCGTCCCTGCCGGCCAGCGCCTGCATCTCGGGCAGGAGCCAGATGAGGCTGTCGATCGGGTTCTCCAGCGTGAAGAACACTCCCAGCGTCAGCGCAAGCAAGCGCGCCTCGATCGCGACCAGCGCCATCAGCGAACCGCTCTTCACTTTCCCGCGGTCCGCCCTCCCAAGACCCGGGGCCCCCCGCAAGTGGGAAGGCGTCCGAAGCTTCGGAATCCGGGCTCGCGAGAAGGTGGAGCACGGCGGACCTGCGTGGATCCACCAGAACTCGCCCTGCCCGATCCTCAGCAGCAGCCTCGTGATGGTGGGCTGGTGCAACAGGTCGAACTGGGGCCCGTTGTCGATCTCCCACGCCTCGGCCCAGGTAGGGGCCCCCGCGCGGAGGCACTCGGCCAGAACGCCCGTCCCAGCGAAGAGCTCCGCCATGCCGGGGCGACCCGTCACTCTGAAGCCAGTCGCCGCATCCGCGTTCTCCTGGAACAGGTCGTCCATCGAGCACTCTTGCCACTCCTGCTCCGAGTGCGCCGTGTCCACCTGCGCCTCGGACCCACTTGGCCTCGGACCTGAGCGCGTCGGGCGCCGCCGCCGTCGACATCGCCGCGTAGCCGTAGTTGCTGGCGCCCGTCATGCACGCCTGCGAGTGCCAGCCCAGCGACAAGTCCGAGAAGAAGAACACGGAGAGCGCGGCCAGGCCGTGCAGCTCGGCGATCGCGTCCGTCCACAGCCGCCGCGGACGAAGACGGTCCTCGGCAGCGTGGATCCACGCGTAGATGACGTGCGGGATGGCGAAGGCCGGGCTCGCGAGCATCATGACCCGCGCCCAGTGCCCCATGACGACCTCGACCAGCGCGGGCGAGGCCACCTCCTCCAAGGTGAGGGCCTCGGTAGCGAGCACCAGGTCCTTCAGCTTCTCGTCCTTCACGCGACACCTCAGGGAGACTGGGTCGATGGTGACTCCTAGCTGTTCGGGAAGACCGACTCCCTGGCTCTCCTTGTGCACTGCCAGACCGCGCGCTGTCGCCGCGCTCCTCGCCCGACCTGCCACTTCGTCGAGCCTCGGGTCGCCCGGTCCTTCGCCGATCAGACCTCCGCCGTAGTCGTCGATGCATAGCCAGTGCAAAAGCTGGTGCTCGGCGAAGCTCGGGGCAGGGCTGCCGTGCTCCACGCGGCCCGCCCCCTCGGACTCCATGTCGTCGAAGCAGTCCATGAGCGCGGTGTGCGCGAGGGAGACCGCCCAACTCCAGCCCGTGGGGGGGGGGCCGTGCAGGCGACGCCGTCGGCCCCCCCTGGCGGCCGCGGCAGCGAAACGCCTCGCCGCTGTGCGAACTCCCAGAGCGAGCGCGGATCCACCCCATCCAAGACAAAGTAGGAGTACAGCTCGGGAATATTCTGCAGCCTGTAGAACATCACTGGCACGTCCCCTGGGGACGCCAGGAACTGCTGGCCCCCCAGGATGTCGGGCCCGAGGTCGATCTCCGCGAGCGCCGCAGGCGAGCCCAGCGGGGCCCAGGGCGGGTCTTTGAAGTGCAGGTTGACTCGGCGGGCATCCTATACCTACCGAGACACCACCTCCCGCTTTGGCTTTTCCTGCGACACCTTCTCGGCCACGGTGAAGACTGACAGCTTCTCGCGCGCGTCGTCCACGTAGGTGAGCATGTTCGACTCCCACATCTTCAGCGCGAGCTCCAGCCTGGTCTGCCCGTGCTTGAGCTCCGGCGCCTCGTGCGGTTTGATCTTGTTGTGGGCTTGCATGTCGATCTCGCCCTCCGACTTCAACATCAACCTCCCGGGCTCTTCGAGGTAGGCCTTCGCCGTGACGGCCGGCTTCTTCACGCTGACCCCTCGGAGCCCGTTCGGAGGCAGATCGACCTCCTTGACAGCAGCGGGCACAGGGCACCCCTGTGCAGTCGCTCCTCCCCTTCCCTCTCCGAGGCAGAGCCGCCCCCATAGCCAACTGGGAGCTTCTCGCCAAAGCGGCGCAAAACCGCTCTGCCGTCGTCGATGGACCCCCAGGTCGCTCTCCGACTCTGCTCGTTCCAAATCTTCCTGACGATCTCCTTCTGCAAAAACGAGGCCTGGCTCCAGGGGCACTCCGTCGCCACCTTGGTCTAGTCCTTCAGCTCCTTGAGGTGGCCTCGGCTCAGACTCCGCAGAGCAGCAGCGGTCCGACGCGACCTCAGCCACGTGACCCGCAGCTCGCCCTCGCTCATCTCCCCGCCGATAGCTCCGCCCCAACTCGCCGGCACAGAAGGCAACGTTCCAAGCAGATCTCGATGCTGCCGAGGTCGTCCCGAACCAAGCCCGGGAGGCTCCTTGCTCTGGTCCCCACCTGACATCTAAACGACGAACTGGTGCGCGACCTGGCCGAGAGGGCACGTGCAAAAAAGCCCCCCCGTCGCCAAAGTAGAAACTGTCGAGCACCGAATCCCGTTCGCGGTCGCTTAAGTGGGCGGACAACGCTGAGCCCTCGAGACCGAGAGCACGCGTAGAGCTGCCACCCGCAGACGATGAAGTAGAACACCGACTGCTCCAGGCAGAAAGGTCGAGGACGAGCACGCCCAAGAAGAGCGCCGCGAAGAGAGTCCTGGCGAGAGAGGACCTCGACCGATGCACGGGTGGTTCGTCGGCTTTGAACCGTTCCCCCACCAAGGGGCGGCTAGACCTTCATTCGTCCTTCGCGGCAGACTCCGAGACTGACCCCAAGTGCTTCTGGAAGAGCGCATTTCTCTTGAACTTCTCGGTCACCTCGTCGCCAGCCGCGTCGATGTCGTTCTCGGAGCGGTCGAGACGGAAGTGCAGCTCAGCCAGCGCCCAGTCGACCTTGCTCCGCCACTTGGCCCCCGTCTGATTCTTTGGCCGCAGCCAGTCCTCGCGCCTCTGCACCGTGTCGAACGCTTTCATCAGGCTGTAGATGCGGAGGCAGATCAGCTCCGGCGGGTCCGTCTCGAGCGTGCGGTCGAGGACCATGCCCATGGCCGTGACTTCCGCCGCCGTGTTGCAACTCTCGAGCTCCTTGCTGCGCAGCCACTCACGCAGCTCCGCCTGCGCCGTGCGGCCACTCCTGTAGAGACGTGTCAACACCTCAGGAGCGACGCGAGTGCGGATCCCCCCCGCGCGCCCGATGTCAGCCTTGTCGTTGAACCCTTCAGCGCCTGGATCATCGTCTCGCGTGGGTTCCTGGACTCCATCTCCAGCTCATCGATGCGGATCTTCAGCGGGGTGCGCGAGGAGGTCTCCGACGTCGCAGTCGAAGACCGATCGCCCACCACCTCACAGCCACCGCCCGAGGAAGGGGGCGGCGAAGGTGCTGACGACCCACTCCCTCGTGTAGCCCGTGAGCTGTCCATCTCGACGATCATCTCGTGCTCTCGGAGCTTCTGCAGTAGGTTATCGATCTGACCCCGCGATGGCTCGATGGACTCCTCCTCGCGCCTCGAATCGGCCGTGTCCGACCGACTCGATCTCGGGGGCCGTGGAGTCGTGGCGCGGTCGTCCGTCTCGAAGCGCACGCCGCCAGAGGGACCCCCAGGAGGAGTAGCCTTCAACTCTCGGATCTGGTCGGCAAGCAGCGCCATCTGCTGCTGTCCCGTCAAGATGGTCCGCATCAGCTCCGTGGAGGTCGGCTCCTCGCCCGAGTCGGTGTCCGAGGCCGCCGCGCCCTTGGCCCGCATGTCGCCGTCTTCGCTGTCCGACCCGTCGTAGTCCGACCCCGCGCCAGGCGAGCTGGCGCTGGCGTGCAATCCCCGCATCGCGAGGCCGCCGATGCCAAAGGTGATCAGGTAGAAGTCCAACTCGCCCGTCTCGTGCATCTCCATCATGCTGCTCTGGATGTCGCCGAAGTACTCCAGCCACTCCCTGCCCTCCTGGTACGTGTGATACGCGGCCTTCAGCCACTCGTACACCCCCAGGTAGTGCCAGAGCCGCCAACGAGCCCAGGCCCACAGCCCAGCAGCCGTCACCGCCTCGACGGCCCCGAACTTCGGGAAGAGCGAGAGTCGCTTGCCTCCGCCCTTCTTCGGCCGAGGCTTCTTGGGGGCCGTCTTGGTGACTCCGTTCATCCTGTCGATCAGCCTGGCGCTCGCCTGCTCGGCCTCCTGCTTGTCATGCGCGCTCAGCCCCTTCTGGTCCGTGTAGACCACGCCCGACTTGGCCCTGGTCGAGGCGTGGATTTTGTCCTTTGGATTGCTCAGCTGCACCCTGCCCACCGGGTCCAGGGCCGTCCACTCGCCCGCCTTCCCGGGCGCGCGATCCATCAGGAGCATCACCGCGCCCGTGGGACCATCCTTGGACGAGCGCCAGTAGATCCGATTCCGCTTTTTGAGCGCCATCGTGTACCACGGCGAGCTGCCGCGGTCGGGGTGCCAAGGGAAGCTCTCGACACGCTCGTGCTCGACCTGCAGCTCCGCGGCCTCCTCGACGTCAGTGCCCTCGTCCAGCGCCAGCCGATCCTGGAGGCCCAGGAGCACGCGCGCTACCCGGAAGAACGTGGTGCCCCGCCACACCGCCGTGGTGGCGCTGAGGGCACCGCCCTGCGGCCGAAGGCCGCGCGAAGTGCGCCAGCTGGGCGCAGCTGCGCCCCAACGCCGAGGGCGATGGGCGCTCGCGGGTCCTCGGGAGGAGGCGCGGGCGCTGGCCGCGAGCCTCGAATCCCTCGAGCCCAAATGACTACAAGCCAAAGATCGTGCCGTGATAACGTGACGAACGGCAGAGCTGGAGAGGGGGAGGCGGCCGCCCCATACAGACCCCTTCTAAATCGAGCCCGA